ACATCAAAACTCCATTAACACTAATATAATGGTTTAGGCAAGCATCTGTTGATTGTAGGTATCCCAATTTCTATGTGTCAGATGGGAAGGTTAGGGAATGCATTAATCTAATGTGTATGGAAAAAAATAATATTCCTTTGACCACTAATGAAGTTATGAAGGGCCCTAAATAATCTTTAGATGTCTCCTACAAGTTATACACTGACAAAAATAATTCATCAGCTAATGAAAAACCTGCAACATTATTCCAGTTTGAAGATTTTTTCTTTTGGATACAACATGCTCTAGGTAGGCTTAAAAGCCAAATAGATTTTTAATGAATGTATTAGAATTAACAGAAAAAAAAGTTATTAAACTATGTGTTCAGAAATGATTCTTAAGTAAGCACCTGATGCTTAAGTCTAGGTTTGATGTTTAACTGTCTAGATATGCAAATCAAATGCTGATTGTTTTAGATTTCGGATAAAGGAAATACATCGATTCATTATTCATTGTTATAAACATCCGGATGGTTTGTTGTCAGTTATTGAGGCATTTCATGCTTCAGTATCTGATTTTAGTTAATGCAGATGAATTTCTGAATTCAGTAACCTGTGTTTGTGTTGCTTATTAGCATTATAAATATCAAATTTAGAAAGTAATGCTATAGCGCGACAGAGCTAAGAATCTCTACTACATCATGGTTGATTTGTTTAATCCATTGAATATCCTGACAACAAAAACCAATGCCAATCTTCATGTCGAATCCGGGGATTAGGGGAGGCAAGTGAATGATGAATGCATATTTTATCCTGCAATCAACCAAAGATAACATAGAAAATTAGCAAAAATTGTATATTATAAAGTTTATATGATTCTTTGACTAATATGCTAATAAGCACTATGGGTGGTGAAGTAGTCAGGGAACCCCAAAATAGAAGGGACAGAAGTTAGAGCCCCTGTTTTCTTATCTTCTTGCTGCAGTGATACAGTACATATCCTAGATTGGTTGTCTCAGAAGCAAACAGTATTAGAATAATTGAAATCAATGGTGATTAATTAAGTGCTGATTAGTTAATTAATTAAGTTTTACAGGTAGATTATCACTTAATACAGGAATGGTGGGGGACCACCATTACAAACCCTAATGCTTTGGCATTAGGAAGCAATGATATTGGTTTAGAGCTCATATCAGTAGGATCAGCAAATTATTAAAAACAATCTGTTGCCTTTAATATTGACACTCCTGTGATTGAGTACCCTTGAAGAAGCATATGACCTTATCATCACTTAACTTTTAGTATATGATTTAGCTACCATGTAGACTCCCTATTTCTTTGTTGGATGCTTCTGCTACATTTTTAATTTCCTCATTATACCTAATTTTATAGACTACGTGTGCCGTTACGTAGTCATCAACGTTTCATCATGATCGTCTTCCTCGTCCTCATTACTATGTTATCATTACCACCATATCTGCTTGTTAAAATATTTGAAGAAAATATTTTAGAAAGATCACAAGAAGAAAATTGCTAAATATCTACTGTAACTGTTAGTCATCTAATAATTCGCTAAGATAATTGTTCCCCTTTTCCCCTCTAGTTAATTGTTGTTAGGTGGCTAACAGTTAGCTAGATACCCTTACTTAAAAAGCGAACCAATATAGGGGCGCACACCTAGATTGATTCACATCTGTAGTATTTAGTACCTAACATGTTAAAGCAAACTTAACTCCTTATTCATATTTTTCAGGGGTCCCAAAGAAAGTAGACTGGCTTTTCGGCGCTAGGGAGTTTTAAAACCATTAAAGGCCTTTCATGGGAAACCTTATATTCTTGCTACCAAAAGATGGTCCATACTAGTTAGTGTATTCTATTCTTGGTTCTCATGATCTAGATGGAATTCACATGGTATTACATGCTCAATTATGCATCCATCTCTTCATTTTTATACCAAGTGCTGCTAATGATGGAGGTCAATGATCACTATTATAATAACAGATTATGAGATGATGCAGATTTTGGCAATCCCATTATCTGCACAAACCCCATTTACATTTCTTTTTTGGAGGCATCGACTGTATATCCTAAATTTTAATGTCTTCAGGACCACTATGAAAACAACTAATTACTCGACGCACTTTTATAATCTCCCAGATTATAGAAAGATTTAACTTGGCAATAATATGATATACTGTACTTTTTCCTAGAGTAATCAATATTGTGATGATTAATACATGAGCCTCTTCGGTGATGCAGGTTCAGAAGCTCGATTTCGTCAGAGAAATCAGATATCTGATACTTGTTCTCCTAGGCATTATTTACGCTTGTAGTTTTCAAGAGATTAGCTAGGAATAAGTTTTTTTTGACAGGTACAGTATCAGGTTCACTAATTCAAGGTAGTTCTAGGACCATTCAAACAGACATGGTTGAAAAGAATCAAAGAAAAATTCAACTTCACAGTGCAGTTACATCACCACGTGTTTTCTGTTTCTGCAGATCATGGTTGTACTCTTCTTTGTGATGCAATTTAATCTATGGCCAGCTCACCTTCAAAATATCTATCCATGACTCAAAATAAAGTTCTGCAAATTCCATACGACCCATGGGTCGGTGATAATGATTAATGAATAAATCTAAAAGTAATTATGTACGATAAGGTTTAGGTTAGTGTTCATGATAATGCAACATTTTCAAAAATGCAATTTTTATTACCATTTAGTTACCTGAATGCAATCTTAAAAACGTGTTTGGTATGAAGATTTTTAGGGCTGGAAATGAAATCACTTTAGCACAGGGTTATTGATTCCACCCAAAGCACATAATGTTACCCTTGTCAATTTCCCTCCTCCCTCTCTTATTTGAATCTATTCTATTGTAATGGAGTACTAAATAATCAATAAAATATCAATAAAAAAAATTTGGTTCTTAATATCACTTCCCTCTCTCATTCCCAAACGCAAGTGGAAGTGAAAATCTAAAAAGAAAAAGGGATAATTAGGGATGAATAGACATTAACATAGACATTGACATGAGATATTTCTTACAAAATCACATATCTAAGTAATTACCATGGACATTGACTGTAGAAGTGCTTTTCAAAAACACATATCTAAGTAAAAAGTAATTACCATGGACAGTAACATGAAATGTTCCGTACAAATCACTTATCTAAGTAATTTTCATGGACATTGACAAGAGACATTCCGTCCAAAATCACATATCTAAGCAATTTCATCTACAAGTACCGCCTATGACATAGACGACTGTATACATCCTATATCACTTTTTTGGCGGGGGAACCCAAAGAAGTGAGTTCCACCTCAATTTTGTCATCTTCAACATAATTTAATTCTAGACCCAAAAATAGTGCAACCCACAAAAACGACCTGGTCCTTATATTGTTTTATTCAAGGCACATCATTGTCTAACAGTTATTATGCTGATGAACTTCTGATGATTAAGAAAAGTTGATCACTCTAAGAACAGGTTTAACATTGAGATTAGTGCAATAATATACTATATTTCTAGGATCCAAAAGTTTATTCTCACAATTATTTTTCAATTAAGAATGCAGGATGTCATCTTCAATCCTTCACAAGTTACGCGACAAGCGCAGGAAACTGTTGTCAGCTAATATATAGTTATTCTGTACCTTCTAGGGTTGGCATTACTGGTAGGCTGGTAGCTAATGAGGAAACATGCTCCACTAATGACATCAATCATGGTGTCTTATTGAGGAGATTAACTCCCTCTGTCCGGAATTAATAGTCATGTTCACGGTGTGATTTAAACAAGTGATGTGACTACACATCCAGACGCAGGGAGTAGTTTCTTAAAGAATATCATAGCAGCATGACCAAAATCAGGCTCTTAAATCAGCAACTTGGAAGGAAGTTAAAATTACCATCAAACAGTAACATGCTACTAGTATACTTAAGATACTTAGGTTATCTTCATACTATAAATATGAAAAAGTTCTGTATAAACGTGTGTACATGTGAATTTGCACTCTTTGGTATCAGGGTTTCGTAAGTTGAGGTTGGTTGTTTCTATATATTGTTGGCAAACTCTTAAACCTTCAAGTATGTAACATAAGTTTGATACACAGTATCTCTTTTTGTCTTTCTGATGCAAGTGCTTCTGTAAGCTTCTTTGAGTACCAAACAAATTTCAATTTGGAAAAAGGTCAAAGAAATCTTAGATGATGTTGTTAAAGAAGATGAAAAGGTTGACATAAAAGACGTCTTTAGTAATGGTAATAATGAGTTTGTGTCTACTTTTGCAAGGACAATCCCATGCTAAGGTACACGGTTTTTCTTTTTCTTTTTGGTGGGTAAGGAGAACAACCCTACTAGACTAGGACCTCTTACAAGTAAATCAGCCTAGTTACGCAAGTTTGACTCTTGGGAATGGGAGGAAGGATAAGGGAATCCCCACCCCCAAGTAACACAGTTGGAAGGAATCAAACCCATGACCTTTGAGGTCATTCTAAGATACACAATATTAGAGTAATGCAACTCAATCTCTCAATACCGGCTCCAAGGTGCTACAATAGGGATATAGACATCAATATGAAGGAAAGCTATTGTAAAACTACACAACCTGCAGCCCATATAGTTATTTATATCTACCGATAAAAAAATCAGTGTTTAAGAGAGTTTCCAACCCATATGGCCATATGTTCATATATACACAGTAAGAAGCACATTGGACAAGTTTTTCAAGTCCTAGACTCCTTCTATAATGCTAATAACTATCCTCGAGAAAAACAAGCGTAATAAGAGCTGCCATCTTACCTCTTACCAACACAGATAGATGAGGTAACAAGTACCAATTTTCGATCATTCATCCTCCAGTAAGAATTGAGTTAGAAAACTGACTTTGACTATGGGATGCTCAAATTTGAAGGTTCAATTCATAAAATTTCAATAGACAGAATTAATCTTTCTCAGAAACTGGTGAAGTGTTTAGCATATATGTTTGGTTATGTACTTGCAATCAAGATACGAGACTCACATAGTGGGATAAAATTTCATTAATCAGAAGACTTTTACACATTAATTTTGAAAAAATTGGGTCTAATATACATAAAATGAGTATTCTCCAACATTCAAGTTTTTGGAGCTATTAACTTCGAATAAAGTTAAAATTTGTGCAACTCACGCAGAAAGAGTGTAGGGTGTCAATATGAGATGTCTAGTTTACCATAAAATCAAGCATTGAAGACTCTGAAAGAATCAACAACGGTGTATAATCTGTCTTTCATTTTGTCCCATCTCCTTTCATTTGCTCCTGTTGTCAAGGTGTAGAACTTACCTGCAACAAGGAGCCACCACAAAATAGTCACATTGACATTCTTTTGGGAGATAAAAATGAGAACATCTTAGACATCACTCAAAGTAGCAGTTTACAAATATGCGGGATGTACGTCTTCTTACAGTTTAATTCCATCCTGAGTAGAGTGGAGGATGGAATTGGGCATATTTAGTCCATCTATCATCATTTGGATACAAATTATTGTGCCATGACGCCATGTTACACACCAATCCAGACAAAAGTAAACTACTGTACACTGAGTTGAACTCGGTAATAATGTAAAGATGTTAAAACTATCACTGAATTGTTTAAGCGAATACAGTACGATTGTACTAGACCTACTAGTAAATATATTCCACAACAAAATGCAACCTATTTTGAGAGTTTAATAATGACGACCAAAACTTTGCTCATGACTTTCACGGCACAAAATTTATTGTCAAACTTTAGTAGACACATGATTATTGACTAGGGATGTTAATGAGCCTACATGACTCACGAACTATTTCGAGCTTGGCTCGAAAATTATATGAGATTGAACAAGTTCATGAACAATAACAACAACAAAGACTTAGTCCCAAAATAAGTTCGTGAACAGGCTCAAAATAATTTTTAATTATTTTATTTTACATATTATAGCATCCGACTTAAATTAATACTGTAGTAAACATGTATATAATAATGTTGAGAAACTCAAAAGCAATAGCAAAACATAGTTATATAAAAAGACAAGATTTGAACTCAAGCAGAGTATCATGGTAAGTTGAACATGAGAATTTAAACTCGAAAAAGCTTGAGACTCGCCTCAGGTCCAAATCATTGTGCCAAGTAAGCAGGTTGTTAACACCCTTATTTATGAAGATGCAATGTAAAATCACAAGTTAATATAGAGGTTTATACTTCGTAGTAGGATTTAAGAATAATTAAATACAATTGATTTATATTCTAAGAGTTGTATATAAAAATAAATAAATAAAAAAGAGGTTACTTTTTCTACTTCGGCTTTACCAAAAAGAATGTCATTTTTCATAAATTATTAAGACTAGTATAATTTGGAAAAAAAAAAAAAAAATTCTCCCTATTGTAATAGCATATGCTTTTGTAAATGGAAGACGATTTCATTTCATACCCTTGTTAATGCAGATTACACTTAGAGCATGGCGGGTATAATTTGGCGCTTGGGCAGTGAACTCAAATGTGTAATACGTTTTGCCTTCAACATCTTGCTGCAAGCAGATTAAATTAATAAGCATCTATGCATTAAAAACAAGCATAAGATCATTAAAAGTAGTAATGTCATTTAGAATATACAATGTAAACAGCTTAAGTGTGAAGTGCAGGAGTTACAATGAGATTCTAATAAGAAATATGGCCCGATCAACACAAACTGTCACTGTAGATGCCAACTATATTAATTGGTAAAGTCTTGGGGTGAACCTAAAACTTAGAGTCGAATCCTGTCTACGTCAATTCACCGCCTTTTATGAGTTTGTGACTCCTTATAGACCCCCAATCTAACCAGAAAATAAATAAAAAAAAAAGGTCACTTCCCAACCCTTGTTCAATTCACCAACAATCCTGCAAATAGAAATGCCATATTTTTATTTCTTGAAGCATTCATATCTATCACCAAAATTTATTTATTAAATTTATTGTTTAAATGCATTCTTTAACCATTTGTAGTAAGAGCCCAAATACTTGGTCCTTCACCAATTTTTTTTCCAACTTTTATCATCGTTTATTTTTAATGTACATAATGCGCAACAAAGCTAATACATGACCAACAATCAATTTGAATGTAATACAAATAAAAGTAGGACTTGTAGAGTAGTAGTCACACAATACATCCTTGTCCACAGGCATTACAATTCCAAGTGTAACATTAATGCATACAAACAACCAATTTTATCATCAATGTCCAGTTAAAATTGAGCGGGTCTATGTTAGGGTTTGGCGGGTTTATGTTAGACCCAAACCATTGCCCTACCTGATACCACATACCTGGACCCATAGGGTTTAAAACAAAAGACATGTGCCCTTATTTAGGTTAGGGTTCAACAGGGTGTACACTAGTAAAGAAACAACAATAAGAAATTATTCTAGAAATACATGACTAATAAAACTTAAAACACAGAAACTTGATGTAGTTCCTGTTCTCAGTAGATCTGCACCAATAGACCATAATCTCATAAACACTAACTAACGTCCACTATATCATCTCATTACAATATTAATGCAACCTTTAAAAAGTGATCCCTAGCCAACAGCTGAATCACCTGAGGGGTTACAGTGTTACAGACCATTATCATCTCACAAAAGCTCTGACAAACTAGGTGTTCTTTGTTGTTCCTGATCAGGCTTCATCACTTAGGTTGAGAGATATACTTATCCATTTATTCATCTACATACATTTTCTCATATGACAGTACTTCTTTTGATAGTAGGTGCCCAACTCTTACAGCTCATTAGTCCTCTCTTTAAAGAGAGGGCAATTACCTTAGCAATTTAAAGTCTTCTTAAAGCATTTATTACCCTGCATTCATGTACGGATGTGACAAATTGCCAAGACAAAGAAACTTGTATTAGCATTGTCCATTGATCCCCAAGTTTTAGCTTGACATTGATGACAAATAAGTATTCATCTTCTCTAAAATGTGTATTCTTATTCATTTTACAATTTCTTTTACAGCTTTCTTTATAAGTGGGCCTCTCAAGTGAAATGTCGTGATGTAACCGAAAATGTAGGGGATAGTTACCCTTTAAGCTCTCAAGTTTTTTGGGGTTCTTAAGGCAGTGTTTGGTGATAGAGATTTAACAAGTTTTACCATTCAAGAATGACCAAACTATTGAGTTTCCTTTGACTTTGTAGATCTAGGCTAAGGGGTGAATCACATCAAAGTCTCCTGTCCTTAGAGAGCGAGGATTTATTTCCCCACCAAGAAATTTGTTTTTAGGGAATTCCTAAGGTGATAATCCAAATAGCAAGATCTTTTAGTCCTGTAGCAAAGAAGACTTCAAGGAAATGAATAAAGAGCATGTTTTCTCTAGGTAGTAAAATTATTTTTGAATCACCTTTCTTTATAGTATTCTTCCTACATTTTGTCTTCTTACAAAGTCTTTACATATGTATGAGAAACTTGAGGACCTGAGAAATGTCCTTCACCCTAAAATTGATAAGAAGTGACAGTGTGAAATGAGTTGAGGTTTAAGCCTTTGAAACTTGGTTCCTTGTTTGTTTATCAGAGAAGCAAATGCCTTGAAAATAATTTTGCTTTAATCTACTCACTAAACACAGTTTTGGTCCTTTCAGTTCTTCAATTAGCCTTTCCGGGCCTTATATTAGCAGTTGTTATTCAATGAAGAATCAGGACATAATCAAGCCATCTGAAGGTTGTGACGCACAATCATCCAGTGTCATGTGCATGATCTCAAATGTAATATGAGGATCAAAGGATGCCTGTTTAAATTAATCTGGCAAGTTAAACGAACATTTTAAGGGAAGTGGCACACATAATGAAACCTAAGTCAAATGGAAAAAGGAATTGAATCTGGATAGAATTCCGCCAGCATACAATTTTAATAATGAGAGATTTAGATTAATTCTGACCAAAAAGTTGTTTATTAAGGCTTTATTTATAGGATCATGAGAATGAAAAAGACCATTAAAAGAAGGAAGACAGGGAAAGAAACACTAATCAATCAATCAAAGCCTTAATCCCATAAGTGGGGAAAGAAACACTAATAGCCTTTAAAAAAGGCTCTCTTTAGAAGAGATTTAGATCTTGGGCATTCCATTTCTCTCCTCACTCCCCACAAGGGCACGAAATCATAATCTCAAGTTGGGTAGTTGAAATCCCCTTAAATTCTCCCTACCAAAAATACATGAAAAATTGGCTGTATGCACAAGATTGTAATAGCATATATTGACAGAAACAAACGAGTGTCACAAGAATATACAGTTAATGAATACTTTGCGGAATTCCACCTCAAAACAGAGGCTCCGAACTTGATCCCTTCACATCCAGAAAAACTGTAATCACACAATCATAGCAATACAATGTATATAGAAATGGAAAGGAAGAATTACTGACCTCTTTCGCTTGAACTAGCTTAGTTTTCTGGTTAGTAGGGGCTAGGACCTTCTTAATTAAAGTTTCAGCTACCTGAAACAAGCAATTCACAAAGATGATCAATGATGAGTGAAGCAAAATTCTACGCATCATGAAAAAGGAAATTCAATTACTGTCATAATGAAATTATAAGAGAACCTTATCTGGAGGTCCAAACTCTTTTACATCCTCTTTGCTAGTTGGAACCAGATTCACACTCACACTCTCTAATGGTTCAATAACATCTTTGAAGACCTTGTCTTCACCCTCAATTGAAACTTCCTGAAAAGGATGCAACAAGCGAAGATTAATATCATGCAATCAGAAATCAACATCGAATGACCAATCAAAAAGATCTTAATTTAGCTAACAATACCTGCCATCCAAATGGATACAGAAATGTATAGCCATCCTTCTTATCGGTGACTGGGAGGAAACCCTTTTTAGATTCTGCAGCAACTGAACCATATCAAGGGTGTGCTCTTAGGATATATGCCACCATTATTAAGAGATGTTGCAATTCTAGAGTTTATTCGAGTACAGAATATCACAAAGATAAACAAAGATTAAAAAAAAAAAAAGAAAACATGGGTTTCTTGTTGCTATTCACGGAGTAGCAACTTAACAGCCTGCTCAAAACCAAATCCAACAAAAAACAAGTACAACGTGATTCAGTTACCACTCACAGGAGATAGGGGTGTCCGCGAACAGCAAAATTCCAGGTATACTAGCACCAAGGGCTAGCAATTTCCTCCTTGCTACACCATCTGCAACAGAGACAAACATTGTGTTTGTCAAAAAATTAATGGAACAGACACTTGTTAGCACGAAAAAACGATAATGGACATATCTTTGTACAAATGCACTATATGCAACTTCTAAGGACACGAAAGCCTTGCAGGAATTGTTGTGGCACCTTTTGGTACTTGATCTTTCATTCAGTATTTGAAAGATCTCTAGAGAAGCAAATATTACAATTTTCCTCCAATTGTTTAAATTCAGTTACACATATTTAATGTAGTAAAGGGTTTGACCATCTATGTATTAACTGAGCAGAGATCATAAGATGGATACAACAAAATCAATACCCCCAAATTTTCTTTTACAGGGTACCCATACCTGAAAATCTTCATTATACACAAACTAAATTCACAATGCCCCATGAAAATAACAACAAAACTCCATAATTATATGAAAAAAGTATCAAATATCAACACTTTCTAATTTCTATGATCTGTCATTATCATTGACCTATAATATATATTATATACTTCGTATAAATCAATTAAAACAATACACTATAATCTTGACAGTTCACATCTAAATAATGTATGAACTGGTCACTTCTAAGTTCTAAATAATGTATGAACTGCGGTTAAAAAAATTTAGCAAATACTAACCCATTACCTCTTTTCCTTACATTTCAACTCCATATATCCTCATAATTCTAACAACTAAAACACAAATTTGAACAAAGAATGTTCACAATTAAATTTAGTTGGGGTTGTTTTGAAATTAATTACTCATGATTTAATTTATATTAAACAATCTTCTAAAAATTACTACCTAGGAAAGATATTGATGAACATGAAGCAGTTGCAGCAGATGAAACTCGTTCAGCCTTCACTAAAACAGAAACCCTTTTCCCAGATGACACAAAATTTACCTGAAAAACACAATTTTGGTGTTAAGATTACATACAATTAAAGAACTATATTGCACTAAAATAATAGGAATAAATCCCATTGAAAATTAAGTACATTTTCGGAAGAGAGAAAGGGAACCTGAGAAGAGTTAGAAGGAAGAAATGCTTGAGAAATAGAGGGTAAAATAGATTGTTGCAAAGACGCCATTGTTAAAGTTAGAGGAATAGAGGATGATGATGATGATGAAGATTGAACAAGGAAGGGAAAATAGCAGTTGGTTTAGAGGAGTGTGATGGGGTCTGTGTCTATGTCTGTGTGGTTGATGACAGACTCACCTTATCTTCATTTATTCCTTTTAGTTATTTTCATTGTGCTTACTATTTTCAGAATAAACAATTCTCCTCTTCACACTAACTAATTAGCTTTGCTAGGCCGGGGCCTCTCACGGGTAAATTTTTTTTCTTTTTTACTTATATTCAATTTTGCGGGTTAGACCTCTTGAGTTGGTTGGGAGCTAGGAAGGAAGAGGATACTTGGAAATCCTTTATCAATTACGAGCATATGGTTAGGAGCCAGAAATAATCAACTCTCGCAAATTTTATTTAAAATTGTTTATAGTTAAGGGTTCAGTTTATAACCTGAGCTAAGGTTTGTCAATTAGAACTATGTTTTAATTTAACTTGGTTGAATTTTAGTTATCCCCCGTCATCAAACAGGTTGAAGGGGTATATAATTTTCAATACAATTGGAGTGAGGGTGTGAGGGGGAAAAGAGATGGTGAAGGATTTCACATCACATAGGTAATAGGTTAAGTAAGTTTTTTTAGTTTAGGAATATTTTTCTTGACCATCCTAATAAAGAATACAAGAAGATTATTTGTGGGCAAAGAGAATAATAACCGCATACCTATTAGTAATTGATATAAAATGGATAGATGTAAATGCCCTATGCAACTTGTTATACATTATAATGAACTCGGTACATGTTACTTGATATAAATTATAATGTACTTGTTTAGTGAATTAGTTTACACAACCTTAATGTTGTTTAGTACATCCTCCGTTCTTTATTAGTTGACGCATTTCATTTTGGCGGGTACATTAAGGAAGGGAGAAAGTAAGACATATGTAAAATACTAAATTGCCCTCCCCTTTACTACCTCACCTTATCATGGCCCCACCGTTTTTTCGTACTCCTACACCAAATGTCGTCATCATCTTCATTGATAATTGAAGTTTCTTTTTCTCTCGTCTTCTTTAACAAGAACACTCACTGCACTAAATTCCTAGAATTCGTATTGATTAACAATTCAAAATAATTAAAAAAAAAAATCACAATCAATTAAATTAATATATAAACTTTACAGTTATAACATCAATAAAACATTGATTTTAATTGTTAATGAAACCCCATTTACAGAGGAGAGAGAAAAAAAAGATTATAAAAAAGCTCAAAACTCAACAATGGCTACCACTTTTATTCAAGCAAGTGCTTTGATTTTTTTTTTTTTCCCTCAAATATTTCCATAATATTTCAATTGTTAGTAACTGTATAAAAATTGGAACTTTTTTTATGAATGATTTTTGGCTTCTTTAAACTCAAGACTGGTGGCTTCATAAAATGAGTGGCAAAGGTGGAGCCGTGGAGATCGAGATGGGATTGTAGAAGAAAGTGAGCTATTTTGTCCATAAATTTGCTAATAACTGAGGGCGATGATGTTTTATAAGGAGTAAATTTCTTACATAGTTGCTGTTTGATAATTCTGAAGAGAGAAAAAACATAGGGAGTAATGAATTGATGAAAGAAGTATAGAGGAGAAAGAGTGAGTATGGAGGAGAGAGGGAGGGGGACTGTTTATTCTCAATTGGGACAGAGGAGAGAGATGGGTACGAAGGAGAAGGGTCTATTGCGGGCAACAGGGCAAGAGAAAGGAGGGTATAATTGTCGTGTTATAATATAAAATTTAGGCCTTATTTAGTTCACCTTATTTTTACTTATTTCAGAAAAAATAAGTTCAGATCAGATAAGATCAGAAAAAATAAGTTCAGATCAGATAAGATCAGAAAAAATAAGTTCAGATCAGATCAGACCAGAAAAAATAAGTTCAGATCAGATCCGAAAAGTTCAGATTAAATACAAATTATTATTATTATTATTATTATTATTATTATTATGATTATTAATATTATTATTATAAAAATTATTATTATTATTATTATTATTATTATTATTATAAAATTTAGGCCTTATTTAGTTCACCTTATTTTTACTTATTTCAGAAAAAATAAGTTCAGATCAGATAAGATCAGAAAAAATAAGTTCAGATCAGATAAGATCAGAAAAAATAAGTTCAGATCAGATCAGACCAGAAAAAATAAGTTCAGATCAGATCCGAAAAGTTCAGATTAAATACAAATTATTATTATTATTATTATTATTATTATTATTATTATTATTATTATTATGATTATTAATATTATTATTATAAAAATTATTATTATTATTATTATTATTATTATTATTAATAAATAGCACAAACAATAAACGATAATAATTAAAATTTCATTATAAGCTTCAATCATAAACGTTTACAAATATAATTTTCATTACAAGAAGTTCCAAATTTCCTTTGCTATATTAAGTTGTACTTCATTCATTACAGCTTTACGATTCTCGTTAAACAAATCATAATCTGCTCTTGGTTCGATTTCTATACCACTATCAATGGGTATATCCAACTCATGTAATCGAATAAAATTGTGAAGTGTGAATGTAGCAACCATAATTGCCAATTGATGTTTAGTGTCCATATTTGGCATCATTGTCAATATTTTCCATCGAGATTTTAATTGTCCAAAACATCTCTCGCTCGTTGTTCGAAGTGAAGAGTGAAAATAATTAAAAAGTTCAAGTATGCCTTGAGGTGGAAAACAAAATACTTTGCTTTTTCCTATAAACACCCTCTTTAGATCAAAACAATAATACTTGATCAAGTGGTTTTAACAAAAATATTTGAATATCTTCTTACAAAAAAAAAAAAAAAAAAAAAAAAAAAACGAGCCTAACGTTTCCTATACAAAAAAATTAATATCTTCGTACAACATATTATGTATATTTTCATTTTTTTTTAATTTCATATTTTTGGTAACAAGCCTAACATTTCCCATAAATAAAATTTTTTAAATTTCATATTTTCTTTCCTCCTATTCTGTCAAATACTTTTGCTTTATACAATTTTTTATTCTTCCATTTACCCCACAAGCTCCATATATTATTACGTTTACCAATTTTTCCTAAAACTCCCCACATGTAGAAATGGAGAAGGTATTTAAAATCGAAGGGAGTATACGTATAAGGTTTTCAATAATAATTATAGCTACGCATTACTTTAATTAAAATTAGTACAAAATAACATAGAAAATGTTGCTAGTTCAAACAAACGATAAAATCAAATCCGATACATCATAAATCCATATTATTATTTAAGAATTAAGGTATTTGAAAACAAGTCAAATCTCTTTTTTCTATATAGAATAAAAGCTATGATAAATTTAATCTGTAATTTAGTTTTTTAAGGATCCCCATTTTAATACTTTCTTATAAAAAAAATTCATTTATGAAGTGGGATTTTGTAAATAATAAAATTATCAAATATTCCAATTCTATTACATTATATTATCTAGTAATTTTAATACTTATAGGTTTCTTTAAAAAATTTGTAGGTCTATAATAATAATAATAATAATAATAATAATAATAATAATAATAATAATAATAGTAATAATAATCATAACAATAATAATAGTAATAGTAATAGTAATAATAATCATAACAATAATAATTAAACATTAATATTGATTAACATTAAAAGTAGAATATTGAAATAATTAAAATAAGTTCAAATCAGAAAAAATAAGTTCAAATCAGATCATATCAGAAAAAATAAGTTCAGATCAGAAAATATAAGTTCAAATCAGATCAGATCAGCTTAAATCAGGTGAACTAAACAAGGCCTTACTAAAAAAAAAGAAAACGTGTCAACTGGAAATAAACTTCTTAAAAAGAAATACGTGTCAAACTTAAAAAAAAAAAAAAAAAAACGGAGGTAGTATAAAACACAAAATCATAGAGCATATTTATTGATCTATGGTGATTTTAAGATCATCATATTCCAGCAAATGGGTCGAGCATTAATTGCATTCTCCCAAAAATGCTCTATATTGCATGTCATATGTAGTGTGTGTTGGTTGCTTTTTCATAGCTTTTGATGAGAAGTAGCATGCTTACATGCGCAAACTTTTTGGGCCAAAGAAAGAATGCCACTTTGCGGCTGCTTTATTGGGCTTAAATCCCCATGCCCATGTCCATAACGTTGTCAAGATTCTCCTCGGGATACGTTTTATTACCCACTGTTTTTGTAATTTGCTGTTTCCCTCTTCCACATCCACACTAATTTGTACGGACTAATTATGACTTTGTTAATTGCAATTTTTTTAAATAAAATTGTTTGTAACTGATTTGCGATTAGAGGTGACAGGCGTACAACATGAGTATAGATTAAAACATTTCAATTTGTTACGTATTTGAGTGATAATGACATGTTTAGTAATTAGTAATCTAGTTTTGAGTGTAGTTCTTTCCAGTTGGGATTGAGGCAATCTGTTATACAAGCTGATATCTTGCATCTATCTTCTTTGTTGATGTGACACATGTTATGCTAATGCATCAAACTTGTTGAACATTAAATTTGTGTTTGATAAAATGGTATCATCGTTCTTTGTATAGTTACAATGATTTAAGTCTACATAAGATTTATTACAAGTTTAGATTATTCCAAGGTGCGGCATATTACACGTTTAGATTATTCAAAGCGTCACTTACGGTTTGTCAAGTTATGTTCAATCAAAGTGATATTTCCGTACAGTAGATGGTCTTTTACGTATTTGATTAGGCCAATAATAGGCTTAGGTCTATAACTCCTCTCTTTTACAGCGTAATATCAGAACATGAAACTTTGCAAATTAGTCTCTGGTACAGTATTAATGCTTTAAGGCTTACTTTCAAATGGAGTAATTTGCATGTACCAAACAAAAGAAAATTCCATGTTTGTCGTAGAATTTATGCAATATAGTACAACATATAGGCAATACAATGTTATTCTTCATACAGATACAGTATATGGGATGATACAACACTAAACGAAACAAAAAGTGTGGATAATAGCAATAGTAATCATCCACGATCAAGTAAATGTCTACTGCCTTCGAAAGTCAGCAAGCTATGTATCGCTCCTGTAAGTTAGAGAACCTCCTTCCAGAATCTAATAGATCGATCAGTTCCACAAGAAACAAATGCTGCCTCTACAGGTGAGTGTTCTATCCACCGGGGTGGTCCAATATGATTTGACCGGAGTCTTGTTACCTCTGCCGCAGTTAATGCATCCCAGACAACAATCTGTAATGCAGCAGGCTGGTTAGATGCTAGAAAAAGAGGTGTGAAGATATGAAACAATTAATGGGATTTGAGAAGCCAAACAAACCTCATTCCTGGGTTCATCTATGGACAATATGAACTCCTCGGTGAAACTGAAAACAGCCTGCAATAATAAAATAATGGTTACATTAACAAATCATGTCTACTGGAAGAAGCCAAAATGGAAATTCACTAAGTTGGAAAGAAACTTGGTTTGATAAGGGTTGGAAAGAAATTTCATAGGCCGTGTTAATGACGAGACCTTTTGTGTTCATGATTCTGATTTCTGGATATTCATACATTAGTTGCTTTTGATAGGAATAATTGAATGAAGTTTGATTAACTACGTAAATTAAGTGAATGTTCATGTATGCAATGATCAAGTCTTATCTCTGGTGCATGAATTACATGGCTACAAAAAGGTAACACTAGTACTATAACAGCCCAAGCAAATGAATAAATGTATATCAGACTACAGCTTCTAAAATACAAATCAAGACTATTTCTTTGCTACCTTCCATATTTTTTTGTGCAGCCCACGAGGATCTTAAGGGACAAAAATAAACCAAAATATTTAAGATATAAAAGAATCACTCAGAAGCATAAATTCTAGATGAGTATGGTTTCAACATCAATTACTACTCTTTTAGGCATCTAGCAACTTGGTGATTTGATGGAGAAAAATAGAAAATTACAATTCCTGATCATCTGAACTGTCAAATTGTAGCTTTTCCTGAAATGTACTGATTTATGGGAGATTATTGAGACAGGCTTTAAGCAAAAAAAAAAAAAAAAAAGGAGAGCATAAAATAAGCCAACGCCAATCGCCAACTACAGAAAGTTAGGCAAATAGGCAGATGAGATGAAAGGTACAGCAGTACTTTCTTCCCTTTTCACATCTTTGATGCTAGTTTGGACAAAACTTCACCAGAATTATAGCTTTTACAGCATAAGAGGCTTAGCATTCTACAGGAGATGTTTCAATAAAACCTAGAAGGTAAGACAAAACAAAGTTAATAACTATATATTCAATTGAAAGATGGTGAGAATATGAGGGACGGCTCTTATGCAGTTAAGAAGCTAGTAAACCAGATGAAAATATACGGTAAGACTGTTTCTGATGAAAGAAAGGTCAGGAGGATTTTGGCAACCCTTATACCAAAAGTCTTATTTTAGCTCCGTGGAGGTGTGTGGATGCATAGGAAGTGGTTCAGCAAGGAGAATGAAGGTTCAACAGAGGGTACCTTTTAAACGAGGAACAAAGTCAATTCATGAAGGCAGTGAAAGTGAATAAAGGAAAAGACTATAAATCAAAGGGGAAAATATTTCAATTGGTGGAAATTTCCCTCCATGTGCCACCAGTGACATAAAGTCACTAAGAGCAAGATTGCTAGTCCCAAGGGAGGCCCAAATAAAATATGTGTTATTTAAGCTACATTGTGTTAGTGTTACTTAATAAAGCATCAAATAAATATACTAAATTAGATCAATGGAGGTGGGCTACAGCCTGGGTAAACCCCCTTGGATCTGTCTGTGGCCCAAATGCATTATTTATGTAAGAGTTTTGGCCATAACAAGAAGAACTTTAGGAGTAGGTTGCACAACTGAAAAATCAGCAAGACATTAGCAGCCAGCAAGAAACTCGTCGGATTGTATGTATGTCCAAGTTTTCATATTTATGCAGATCAAGATGCGAATTCTGGTGTCAAAAAGAGGTGGTTAATAGGCAGTGGTTCAACAATTCATGTGACTCATGGCTCATAATTTTAACTAATCAGAAATTCAGGATACATTATCAAAGATTCCATTCTGCGTGGAAAATGGTATGTTTGAGTCACAAGGAAAAGGAACCATTTGTGTGGAGATAAAGATAGGCACTAAGTTTAACATGATCATTGCACTAAGTGCTTGTTTGGTTTACATCAAGTCATGAGACTTCCTAGGAATTGCAGGTTAGGTGAGTCGTTTGGTTGAATGTGAAATGGGGGAAGTGGGACTTCCCAGAAATTTTCAGTTCACATAAAACTTAGGAATTTACTAACCTAGTCCCTCCATGTAAGTGGAAATTCCTGTGGGAAGTTACTTCCCTCCTTGCTAACCAAACAACTTTAGCAAATTCCCATGAATGTGATTATGGAATACTATATCTATAAAGTTGAACTGTCACGAAACAACCACTTAATATGATCCCGAGAGAAAAAGAATCTGGGAGAGTGAAGAAGCTTAACAAAGCTGTTCCATGATAGTGGGATGTCTTTATTGTGAATAGTACAGGATATAATTTCACTCTACGCAGAATAAGATGCTACATCAACAGTGAAACAAGCTGTTTGGTTAAGGAAGATACTAGCTGATTAGGGCTAAATAAAGCTCCAGCCAGGGCAGCCACTGAAATAAAATTGAACAATACTCAGGATTGGTTTATTGTTCGACACAATACAAGCAAGCAAAAAACCATTTTTGTCAACTATATGAAGGTGAAATTTCATGCAATAGGGATGTTGAGCATAAGATGATGAGAACAAAACGAGGTTGGCTTATTGTCCGACTTATAACCAACTTACAGAAACTATTACAATGGAACTTTCAAGGGGAAGGTTTGAACCTCAGATGTAAGGTAGGAATGACGACCAATAGTCTCAAAGAGGGGTTTACAGATGAGGCCTTTTGCATTCATATATCTGGATATTCATGCATTAGTTGCATGACTTGCATCCAATTAGAATATAGTTCAAAGAAATAAAGAATTTGGTAAAATAAATCAGTGAATGTTCATGCATGCATTGAATAATTCTAGTCTACTCTATAGTGCATGTTTACATGGCCACTAAATCTACAAGCACTACAAAAGCCTATGCAAATGAATGTAGAAGCATCAGTTTTTATAGCTCCTAAAACACATCTCAAGACCTAATTCTTTCCACTCCCTTCCATGCTTCCTCCCATAGCTACAAAAGGTTGAATATAGTTATCCAACTTTACTTTTTTAAGGATGGTATACCTTCTCCACCTCATCCCTTGCCTTCCTCATTCTCTCCTACATTTCATCCCCTCCCATTCATCATGCTTCCTTATATTCTAGCAAGTAACCAAACAAAGGGAAATGAAAGTTGAAAACTGATTTACGCTGAAATATAATTTCTGTAGATACAATAATTGATCATAAGTTCATAACAATTTCCTACAGGCCAAACTCAACCTAATTGTAAAAGATGAACCATAATGATTGAAAAAATACTTGCAAAGTCACACCAAACAACCTCCCCACCCTAAATTTGCCTTCAGAAGGAAATTGGGAAACGTACTCTACTTCACATAAACCTTAAATGTGTTGCTCCCTCCAAAAATAATGGTCACTGTCATAAAGGATTTTTTAAGTAAATAGGCTTCAAGCAGTTAATTTTTATGTGAATTTCATCCATTAGTGATATATAAACATCAAAATCTATTACAAAAAAAATAAAAAATGTCAATTTTAAGCAAATAAAGTTGAGCATGCGAGTCCTTAATATTTGAGATGATGAAACAATGAAACCATTATTTCCAGATGGTGTGTATTAGCATATATTAATCCTAGTTGTTCAACTTTTGAATGTCTAGGTTTTGTTTGAACTTTACCTTTTTTCCTGAATATTAATGTCATTTTCAATTTTTCTGTTAGTTTAAGTAGGTATACAGCAGACAGACAGTATAATGCCAGAAAAATGTAGGTGACTTCCATATATGCCAAGACATGGACCTACCTGGCACCGCAATTGCGTGTGTGTAGCTCCCACATACTGCTTCACCAATCTTCCAGTGCCAACCTCCCAGAGTTTAACAGTGGAATCCTTGCCACATGACAGAATAAACCTGCAAATAATGGAAGGCTTATTCAGAACTACATCTAGTAATATCATAGTATACTAGTCACATCAATATCCACTGCTGAAAGATAAGGTTGGCAAGAAATTTTACAGCTAACAAGCCAAAATTACTAGGATGAAAACAAATTTAACATCTCAGACTCAACATATTAAGTTCATAATTCTACAGAATACGTACCTGTGATCCTTGGTGAAAGATGCACTAGTGGCTTCAGTTCCATGTGCACCGATTAAGGGCCGCACACACTTGGCACTGACACCGTCCCATAATCGAACAGCCCCGTCTTTAGATGCTGTGACATACATGCCTCCAGTGGAAGAATACCTTACCTACATCATCAAATAGAGTTGGAAAATTTAGCAACATTCACAGGATCCCCAGATATCATATTATTCATATACCATCATACTAAAATAGCTATCCCAATAAGAGAGACAAGCATACTTGATTTATGGCTGCAGTGCCAGCAACATCTTCAGAAACAGCTGACAAGTAACACTTGAATGTGTTGATATCATACAAATGTGGAATTGCATGATCAGTACCTGCACAGCCGATTCAGCATTTCTGAGCCTCTGAGGAATGTTCATGAAATTTAGAGACACAAACATTAACCTTCCCACGCAGATAATTAATGGCCATTCATAAAGTAATTCTTGGCCTGAAGCATGCTGATAAGGCAGAAACACCATGAACCTTTTTTCCTTCTTTTCTTAGGTATCAATAGTCTAGCAGAAAGATGCCACGTCATACATTGAAGCAAATAGCACTCATTCAGCTGCAACAGCAAGGAGTCCAGCCTAACATATGATAAAATGGTGTGACCTTAGAAATCTTAACCAATCTAGTCTCATTCACTGGATGATTGAATCTCTAAAATATCTGACATTTGGCATGACAAAACCATGTCATCAAGAAAAGTGATAATAGAAACAAGCAGAGACCTTTATTACCGTCAACTTATCACTTGCATCTTATCATGCCAGTAGTTAAAGTAATACTTGCTCATCACAAGGGCACATAGGTTGAATATTACTCAAAAAAAAGGCACATAGGTTGAATAGGATAATTTACAGGATTTTGATGAGATCAAACTGAATATTGATAGTTTTTTAGATAAATTTTTTAGATAAATTATTACAAAATTCAGTTACAATCGTGCAAAACCACAGAATCTTCGACACACACTTGGACACTTTTGAAAGACAATAAAAGGAAGATTACCAGCCAAAAGATAATCCCCTGAAGGATGAAATGATACTGATCGCACATTGTGAGTATCCTGCAAAATTTCAAGTTTCAAAATTCACAATGTCCAATATAAAAGATTAAGATTCATCCTTTTGCAATAAAAAAAGTTTAAAATAAGACAGCAGTATGACCCAGACCTGAATGACTCTGAAAGCTCTTTTTGCTGTTGTTTTAGAAAAATCAAAAAACCTGAAAAAATATAAATGAAAGAAGCATTTCAATTATGGAAAAAAAATGGCATAAAACCATTCTAACTAACAGAACATTAACAAATTTCATTAAGTCATAAATATAAACAATTTTCTTCAAGCCACTTCACATGAGCAGAAGGAAGAAAATAAAGGTTCTTTAATTGAGAAGGAAGAAATAAAGTTGAAAAGGCTACCAAATATATCAGTCTCTTACTTTATTGTATGGTCTTTGGCGCCAGAAATCAATATAGTATTCTGTGGATGGAAATCTAAATCATTTATTGGCTGCGATTGAAAATAGGAAAGAGTAAGAAAAATACATCATAAAGCATGTGTTATTCCCCAGCAAAAAAAAGACACCTAAAAGTTAACCTTAAGCTAAGTTCTAGTAGAGCCTAAACTAAAGAGCCAACGATGAAATCACATACGGAGTGTACAAAGTGAAGTTATGTAAAAGGCCTAAACTAATTAATGTATAAATCCTACAGCAAATTAGTGTTAATCTTTTCTCATATCGATTCAATTGTCAAGGTCAAATCAGGCCTTAATTATTACTCAAGAATTCAATAATTTTAGCCGTGTAAAATGCAGAGTAGACAAAGTTAATAACAATCTACCACTTGCCACTACCAGAAGCGTGCCATCACCTTTTTTTTTTTTTTTTTTTTTTTCCTGAATAGCAATGTTTAAAACTTTGAAGACAACTATCCTCCAAACAATTACTAAAAGTCAAAAGGATTTACTTGTATATGATCATAGAATGTCCGAATGACTGGTCGAACGGAGCCATCTCTGGCCTCTGGTAGCATCATTTGCTTTATTTTTGCAACCTGCAAATAAAAAGTTCAATACAATCTCAGAAAATTTGAGAAATCATGAACACATGATAAGGTACAGATCTATCTTGCACTGAGCAAACACCTCGAAGAGCTTAATGGATGTGTCTGCACTTCCTGTAGCTACATATCTCCCATCAGGGCTAAATCTCGCACATCTTGCAATATTCTGAAATAAAGCCAGGTAATCATAATTAGAACCCTCACACAATTCAACAAAAGGACAAAAAGTTGCATTACCTTATGCTCTGACACATGCCTTGTCTCATGGTCCGGGAAAGTCTTAGATGCGCCTTTAACGTCCGGTGAGGCACTGATGTCCAGACAAACACATTAGCCTTTATTTTCAGACAGCCTAAGTTTCTGATTTAATGATGTACAATAAAGCAGCTTGCCTGAAATCAATTGCAGCAGTTCGAGGAACCGGGATCGACCCATAAGCTGCGGGTATGGCAGAACCAGAATCAAACAATGTGGATGCAGAAACCCCTTTTATAGGCTCGCCTTTCTCTACTGCAAGACCCTGTTCAAATCTTAGTCTAAAACTAGATGAAAATGATCTTAAATGTCATGAAATAATTTCAATAGACATAATGCACAAATAATTTTTGCAGGTACAAACCTTAGAAACTAAATCAAGAAGTCGATTCGGAGGTGCTTCGACATTCAAAGGGGTCATTGTAGCAGAAGCAACTGCACTGGCAGCCTTTGTTGGAAAAACAACATGATCAATATGAATAAATTACTCAACAAAACATTGCATAACTCAAAATAAACAAAATATTACTCTAAGGTACTACTCCATACAATGAGATACACTCTAAGGTACTACTCCATACAAAATGACTAAGATTTAACTCCAGAAATAAACTTCACAATTTTAGTATAAAAACAACATAATTTTTATTTTATTTAAAAAAAAAAAAAAAAAAAAAAAAAAACCTACAATGATAACAATAGCTCCACAAATCCAAAAATTAGAAAATACCCATGTAATATAATGATAAAATACATAAAGATCAACATGAAAATACCCTAATTTACTCAAAATCAACCCCTTTTCATTGAATGTTTGCATAAATCATATGATAATTAATTACAAATTAAGGGGTTTGAATAATTAGAAGAAATACCTGATTGAGATTATTGTCACGAAGATGAGCAACAATCAAAGCATTAACATCGCGATAAAGCTTGCCCTCTTGTAGAATTTCCTCAAAATTTCCGTCAATTCCCATCATATAGTAACGAATAAATGTAATCTCACCCTAAATTAACCGGAAAAAAAATCCCACCTTTTTTTATTTTATTGAATTAAAACCTTTGTACAATACGATAGTAGTAATCTTGTAAGTGGGAAATTTAAGTTTTTGTAGGTAATTGATTTTTTTTTTTTTTTTTTTTTTTTTTGGGCAGCAGGTAATTGATTATTGAGTACAACTGATTTTCGAATAAAACAAAAATAGAGTGAAAGTGGAATTTGGGAAGAACAGAAAGAAGAACGTTGGCGTACTGCCGCCGTTTTTTAAGAGAGGGTAGTGACTAGTGAGTGGCCTTGCTCGGAGCTAAATAGATCCAATTCGGGAACTCCCAAACTAACTCGACCTTCGTTTCAAACAAAAACAAAAAAAACCCTAACTAACTCGACTTTTTGATGAGCTTTGCTGTTTTTTTAAGGCAAGTGGAAATGAGCCAACCTCCATTTATATCCTATATTAATAAAAATATGTTTATGTCCTCACATATCTAACATTAAGTGAACAAATATTTCAACTTCCCTATCTTATAAAAAGTGTAAGATTACACTTATGAATAGTGCACGAACGTTTATAACCTTCAAAATGTTTGTTTACCTTTTTACCCCTATTTTGTAATTTTTTGAGAAAAACACCCTTAGACAAAAGAGAAGAATGACAACAAATATTATTAAATCACAAATTGTCATTACACGTGTATATATCCATACCAAAAAAAAAGAGTTTTGAGCTTTCTCTCTCTTCTCCATCTCTGTTCACAATCTCTCTAAAAATTACTAAACTACGAGTTCCCCATTAAAGCACCTCTTGAGCTTTTTCTCCTCCATTCAATCCTCTCTAGGTTACCATGGCGGTCAGATTTGGAGCGGGGCGTCATAGTCAATAGACCTATTGAACTACTAGACCTCTTCACCCAATTGTTCATGTGTTAGAGAATGATAATTATTGACGCAACATCTTCACCAGCTTTCCCTTATCTCTAGTGTTTTACTTGTTCAATATTGTTTAGTGTTATCCCTTAATTATAGGTTTTATTATTTCGTAATTATATTTATTGTACTTATCTTTAATGCTCTTGTAACTCTATAATTATTGTTGTATATTGTTGTATAATCTATCATTAAGAAAATACAATACAACTATTCTATCTATTCTATCATCCTATATGGTATCAGATTCTTGATCTGCAAACCATTCCATTCTTCCCTTGCTTCATCATGGTCTCCTCACCCAAAACCTCCTACCAACTGTCCAACCCCACCAACCCCATGAAACCATTCAACGTTGTCAACATGCACAACGTCATTAAGCTCACCTCAACCAACTATCTTTCCTGGAAACTCTAAGTCGAGGCTTTGCTCGTCGGCCATGACGTTTTCCATTTCTTTGATGGCAGTTTACCATGTCCATCTTCCATGACCACCATCGATGGTGTTGACACCCCCAACCCTGACCATATTTACTGGACTCGCCAAGACCGCCTACTCTTTGGCTCCCTAATCGGCACCATCTCTCCCAACCTTGTGCCTCTCATCTCCCAAGCTAAAACCTTTGCCCAACTATGGGAGAAACTCCATCAAAAACATATGCTCTCCCTTCTTGTGGCCATATAAAACAACTACGAGACAAATTTCACCGCATTGTTAAAGGCACATCCTCCATCTCTGACTATATGCGCTCACTTAAGGAATGCGCCGACCATCTTGCCGCACTCGGTAAACCCATCGATCACGAGGACTTTATAGACTAAGTCCTTGCTGGTCTTGATGACTCTTACAAGTCCTTGTCGACTCCGTCAATGGCCAAGACACAACCATTTCCATCGAAGAGCTTCACGAAAAGCTCATAAACAAGAACTTTCAATCCTACAAACACAAACTACCACATCTTCTTCCCTTCCCGCAACCGCCTTCACTGCCTTCACTAAGCCAAACAACCGTCCTCCACACAAACAGTCTTCCCAAAGTCTCTTCCACACTCCCTCTTCAAACCCCTCTAAAACCTCTCGTCCTTTTCTTGACAAATGCCAATGGTGTCGTGAACAAGGCCACGTTGTGGCTCATTGTCCTTTCTTCACCCAACAATTTCCGTCTGCCTTCCCTCCATCTCTACGCTACAACTCCACGCAGCCCTCTCGGTCTTCCCTAAAACCGTAAGCTAACCACTCTCACCTCTCATTGCCCTCACCTTCCTCCACTCCATGGCTGTTGGATAGTGGGGCATCCCATCATGTAACCGATGACCTCAACAACCTATCCCTCTATGCTCCTTATGATGGAACCGAAGAGTTGATAGTTGGTGATGGTAAGGGTCTTTACATTTCTCATATTGGTTCTTGCGCTATTTCTTCCCTTGTGCTTAAAAATGTCTTAGTAGTTCCATCTATGACCAAAAATATTATCTCTCTTTCTCAACTTTGCCTTGATAACAATGTCTCTGTATCCTTTAAAACTAACTCATTTTTCTTGAAGGACCTTTCAACGGCGAAAGTGTTGTTTCAAGGGACAACTAGTTGCGGCATCTATGAGCTTTCCTCCGCTATTCTCCTTCGGTCTACACAAGCACATCATCTTCCATTGATTGGCACCATCATCTAGGTCATCCATCTAGGAATATTTTTCAGCATATTATTTCATAAAATAAGTTAAATATATCGAGTATTTCCATTTTAGATTGTAATTCATGTGCTTGCAATAAAAGTCACAAACTCCCTTTCTCTACTTCTTCTATTAAATCTATTGCTCCCCTTGAATATGTCTACATTGATTTGTGGACTTCACCTGTTCATTCCCATGACAACTACAAATATTATGTCATTTTTGTTGATCATTATTCCAAATACATTTGGCTATACAACATAAAAAGAAAATCGGATACAAAATCTATTTTCCTCCGATACAAAGCTCTTGTAGAAAAATATTTCCAACTCCCTCTCAAAGCACTTTATTTGGATAATGGAGAAGAATACTTTACTCTTCAACATTATCTCACCATTAATGGCGTTTCTCATCTCACTACTCCCCCACATACCCCCAAACATAATGGCCTTTCTGAACGCCGACACAGGCATATAGTTGAAACCTTCATCTCCCTTCTCTCCCATGCAAACATGCCACTTGATTTTTGGTCTCATGCTGCCTCCACGGCAGCCTACTTAATAAACCGGTTTCCCACACCTACTTTAAATAATGTTTCCCATATTTCAAACTATTTGGTCACAAACCCAATTACACTAAGCTTTGTAGCTTTGGGTGCTTATGCTACCCTTGGCTTAAAACCTATACATCCCACAAACTCGACCCAAAATCTACCCTATGTGTATTTATTGGATACTCTTCCTCTCAAAGCACATATTATCGCCTTGATCCCTCAACTATGCGCATTTACACATCTCGCCACGTTCAATTCAATGAGTCTATTTTCCCTTATGCCTCCTTAACTCAATCGCCATGCACCCCCACTGATGATTTAATTGATCAGTGGGCTACTTTATTAATTTCATCCCTTCCACAAACATCATCATCACCTTCTACTGCTCCACACTGTTCGGCTGCTGTCTCCCCGCCATCTACACTCAACCCCACGGAATCACCCTTAAATTCTTCATCTTCTATGTCCCCTGACCCTTCGACATGTTCAACCTCTCCCTCCTCATTTACATTACTCTCTTCACCTTCTGTTTCGCAACCTTCGCCCAGCTCCCCTCAAATTGTTACTTGCCTTCAACATGGCATCCGAAAGCCTATCACCAAACTCAATCTCAATGTCGAAGCTCATGAAACTTCACTTCCCAAAAACATTACTCAAGCTCTAAAAAGTTCGGTGTGGAGGAAAGCTATGGAAACCGAAATACATGTTCTCCAAAACAACAACACATGGTCTCTCGTCCCTTCCTCTCCTTCCCAAAACCTAGTGGACTGCAAATGGGTGTTTTGCATAAAAAGTGATAAAGATGGTGCAATTACACAATACAAAGCACGTCTTGTGGCTTATGGTTTCACACAATGAGTTCGCATTGACTACGGGGAAACTTTCAGCCCCGTAATCAAACCTACCACGGTACGGCTAGTACTATCTCTTGCGGTTACCAATGGCTGGCCCCTGCGTCAATTGGACATTAACAATGCTTTTCTTCAAGGCACACTCACTGATAATGTATTCAACTGTCCAACCCCCTGGTTTTGTTAACCCGCAATATCCCACACACGTTTGCAAATTGAATAAAGCTCTATATGGTTTAAAACAAGCTCCTCGAGCTTGGTACACCGAACTTCGTCATCATCTTCTTCAACTTGGCTTCCGCAATGCTATCTCTGATCCTTCCATTCCCTTTGCAAACAATATCACCGTGCAGTGTACCTTCTTGTATATGTTGATGATATAATCATCACATTAAATATGCCCGACTATCTAGACACCTTCATCACGCAACTATCAACCCGGTTCTCTCTCAAAGACCTTAGAACCCTATCATATTTTTTAGGGGTTGAAGTCATGCCTCACCAACACGGTTTATTCTTGAGTCAAACTCGTTACATAAATGACTTACTATGCAAAGCAAATATGGAAAATGCAAAACCCACATCTACCCCTCTTGCTGTTCATCCCCCACTGACCAACACAGGTAAACCCCTTCCCGGTCCTTCACAATACCGAGCTCTCATCAGCAGCCTACAGTATTTGAGTCTTACTCGACCAAACGTTGTGTTTTCTGTCAACAAATTAGCACAGTACATGCAATGTCCTACTGATTTCCACATACAGTCACTTCATAGGTTGTTACGGTACCTTAAGGGTACTTCTACCATGGGACTTACAATTCATAACACTACTCCTATGACTCTTCATGTGTATTCCGATGTTGACTGGGCTAGGGATACAGATGACTTCATCTCAACAACTGCCTATGTGGTGTGCATTGGCAAGAATCCTATATCATGGTCCTCAAAGAAACAGAAAACAAGAGCACGATCCTCCACGGAGGCTGAATACAGGGCGGTTGTTGCTGCCTCTGCTGAACTTCTTTGGGTTCAAAATCTTCTGCATGAGCTTTGTCACCCTTTGCTTTCTACTCCAATAATATACTGTGATAATGTTGGAGCAACATATGTCAGTGCGAATCCTATATTCCATTCCCGCATGAAACACCTTGCTTTGGATTATCATTTTGTGCGAGAAAATGTTCAAGCCAAAAAGCTACGTGTGGCTTACATATCCACGAACGATCAACTAGCAGATGCACTTACAAAGCCCCTGCCCAAGCTCACATTCACAACATTAATCAGCAAAATCAGTCTGTCATTACCACAACTCGTTTTGAGGGGGCGTGTTAGAGAATGATAATTATTGACGCAACATCTTCAACAGCTTTCCCTTATCTCTAGTGTTTTATTTGTTCAATATTGTTTAGTGTTATCCCTTAATTATAGGTTTTATTATTTCTTAA